TTAGATTAACACATCAAACTGTAAATAAAGTTTTGCAGAAACCACCATCTGAATTAAATTTACCTAACAGATGAAGAAGCATCTACAAAGGATTGGCCATTGGTACTCAAGTCATGCTCCTCATCCGTTTCATAGTCGTCAGGATCTTCTTCTTCACTTTGATTATCATTGTTTTCCATCATAAGACCTCTGAGAGTTTCCTGATCATCCCCTTAAATAAAGACAAAAAGAAGCATAGGTAAAATCAAAAGGCAGAACAACGATGCAACTATTGCAAGAATACTTAAGAGCCAATAGGCCACAGATAGGTAAGTACTAAAAACTTCCAATACTAGATAAGGACAAACTTACCTTGAATCTTATCATCATCCCCATCAATAGAGCTTAAATCCTCAGACCCACTGTTTTCCTCCTCATCCTCATCTTCTTCTGTGTCACTTTTCCCTTCCTCCTCTCTCTGCCTGTAAAAAGATTTGGAGATTCAATATCTCCAAGAAACTTGTTGCATATAATCTACAAAATCTTAATGTAAAAAAAAAATGAAGAGTAAAGGACACAGCAGTTCCACAGAGGAACAAGTATATCGAATCTAAATGGTCCACTGTTCAGCCTACCAGTTCACATAAATCAATGGCATATAAAGACTAAGACTTGAACTTGTTAACACAAACGGCATTATAAAAGTACCTTCTTTTGTTCATATCAGCAACAACCTTGTTAGATGAACCAAGAGAAGCGAGCAAATGTTGGTACTGTGTCGGTTCTCTGTAAAGCATTGCTTCCGATTCAGTCTCAATGGAGTCTTCTTCAGGTGAATCTAACGATACAATAACCCAAAAAAAAAAGGTTAATTTTGAGTACCACTTCTCTGTTGGACATAGAATCTGAAAGCACTTGCAGAATCAACGAAGAAGAGCTAACAAACCTGGATCCTCTATTGAAGGATTGGAAACAACAGCCTTTTCAACATGTTTGTGCTTCTTCGTATCCCTTTTCTTATCGAATTTCTCATGAGACCTGTGTCTCTTCATGACTCCAGCACCGTTTGGAGCCATCTTGTGGAAGCTAAGTGGTGCAGAGAAAGAGATTATGGGAGATGTTGAGCTTGCTTGATTTTAGTTGTAAAAAAACTGCCTCAAAACAAAGTTCATAGGTTTGGTCTGAAAATAAAGCGGCGGCCGAGCAGATTAAAACCCCAAAGTCTGAAGTCTGAATGGGCCTTGCAATAGGCCCAATAGATTTAACGCTTTTGCTTTCTTTTTTTGGTTTCCTATTATTTTTTATCCAATATAGAATAAAGAGAGCAATATAATAGTATCTTCTAAGCACCAACTGATAAATATTCATGACAAATGCAACAATAACATCATCGAGTTCCACATGTTAACAAAGAAACAAAGACCTTTGACACATAGATCCAGAGAAATTTCAATTACATCAACATTCCTTTAAGTCTCACAGTTCTGTTTATTTTATTGAGTTGTTGTTACTGTGAGACTTAAAGCAATATTGATTAATTGACTGATTTGTGTTACCTCAATTGAAATTTGTTGGTGCAGGAATTAGCACTTCCGATAATACCGGCTTAAACCGGACGAATTGCGAATAAATCTGAGAATTCAGTTAAATCAGATAATCCCGGTTAGGCTTGTTAATGGGTCAGAAAAAGGAGGTCGCCTGGCGAGCTCAACCCGAAAACGGGAGATCGCCTAAGCCGACTTCTCGTTCAAGAAAAAAGAAAGATTTTCCTTAAGAAAAAAGGAGAATCGCGAAAAGAAAGGAAAAACAGAAGATAAGGCCCCGAAGATTTAGAAGTTTAATTTATCCTAAAAACCGCTTTAATCATGTATAAATAGGGGGTTTGTCCCCTATTCAAAGGATCCGCAACTTTATACAAAAAAAACTAGTTTTCTCGATTGTTCTTGAGCTAAACCCTAACGTTGTCTCTAAGCTATAAAATTCACCCTTCTTTTCGAGTCTTTGATCACAAAATAACAAGAGAGTTAATTGAATTTGTTTTCTTCCTTTAAACAAATTCATTGTGTAATTTTTAGAATCAACAAAAATTACATTAGGTTTTTGAAAAGAACAAAAAAACTCACTTCAAAACTACTACCACTCAAGGGTTAAATTCTAGTTTATGACAGAATTATAGAATTCAGTAATTATTAATTTATAAGTATTCTAACCGTAAGCTCATCATCATCATAATAAAATTATGATCATCGTCACAAACTTGATACCATCATTGTCATCTCTATCCACACCACCGTCCATATCATCATTACACCAATTCATCATTGTCATCCAACGTTACACGATCATCGTTATTATACCATAACAGTAATATTACTATCACTGTTATTAATATCATCATGATCGTGATACCATCATCATCATCATCACCACAATAAGATCATTATTATCATACCATCATCAATTCATCATTATATATATATATATATATATATATATATATATATATATATTGTTTATTGTTTGATAATAAAAAGTCGCAGAATTCAAGGTTTCCAAGTTGGAGGAGTGGTGGGCTTAAAGGAGCCATGTTCATTTTTTCAATAATGCAAGAAAAATAACTTCGGCAGGCAAGTCTCATCTCTTTCTGGTCTGGCCTTTCATGACTCTTGCAGTTTTCTCCTCGTTCTCTTCTTATTACAGCCCCCATCTGGCACCTTCTCATTGGGTCTCACCTCTTTTCACTTTTAAATTTAGACAACGCCAACGTGACCTGTTCTTGCTCCTGTGGCGCCTTTCACCTCGTCGTTTTGTAACTCTAGACACACTTATTCTTATATATACTGTATATTGTGGTTTTTCTCACGTCGTTTTTATGAGTGTGTTTATTACTTTTTTCCCTCACGTTTTATCTTATATAGATAAGAACATCAATATCGATGAGCAAGCCAATCCAATACATTTTACAAATGATAAACATAAATGGCAATAACTTGTGCGACGTGAATAACACAATCAGTTAGAAATTACATGATATAAAATTCAAAAATGAAACATTATATTTGGAAATGAATGTTGGAGATACAATCCAAGTCCCACATCGGAAGTTTGATGGGACAATCAATAATATATAAAGGGTTAGGGCCAATCCACTAATTGCTAATTGGTTTTTAGTTGGAAGCTCAGAATTAGCCCAAATTTAACATGGTATCAGAGCCCAAGGTTCAAATTCTGGTGGACCTAGAAAATTGGATACGGACATACCTCAAATCCGAGTAATGGGGCCCGAGAAAGGGGCTTATTATCGGTCCGAGTGAGGGATCGAGGAGGTGTGTTAAGATTCATGTGGTCCTTGGATTGAAGGGGAGATTGTTGGAGATACAATCCAAGTCCCACATCGGAAGTTTGATGGGACAATCAATAATATATAAAAAGTTATGGTCAATCCACTAATTGCTAATTGGTTTTTAGTTGGAAGCTCAGAATTAGCCCAAATTTAACAATGAAATATAAAAGTCATGCATGTAGGAAATTTTGGCAAATCATCAGAATAGTCAGTCATGACTCATGTGGTTGTGCTCCGAACAATTGGATTCAAAAGTGGTGTGTCCCGTAATTTTAGGTATTTTCAATGTATTCCATATTTCACATTTTTATATACTATACAAGATGTTCAATTTTTATTTTTTTTTGTTATAGAAATACAAAACTCTATAAAACCTCTCAGTTGTAATGCTTTTCTCTTCACATACCACAAACACATCACACTCTTATAGCAAAAATAATATCTCTCCCATATCACAAAAGAGAAAAACAATATGACAACATATGGCACCAATCCGAAGTCGTCTAACGACTTAGCCCCCAAACTCGAGTACATCACCCGCGGCATTAACCAACAAAAAAGATCCGGCCTCGCCACGCGCCGCCCTTGGAAGCAAATGCTAGACCTCGGTTCCTTCAACTTCCCCCGCAAACTAGCCACCGTGATCAGTAGAATCAGAGCCAACACCGTCTACTTCCAGACCAATTACACCATTGTCGTCCTCTTCTCCGTATCTCTCAGTCTGATTTGGAATCCCTTCTCCCTCCTAATCCTAATCGCCCTACTCGGCGCATGGCTCTTCCTCTACTTCCTCCGTGATGAACCGCTCGCTGTGTTTGACCGCGAGATCGACCACCGTATCGTACTTATCGTCATGTCCGTTCTCACTCTTTCGATCCTTTTCTTAACCGATGCTAAGCTCAATATTGCGGTGGCCATCGTGGCAGGTGCCGCGGCTGTGTTGTCTCATGCAGCTGTTAGGAAAACTGAAGATCTTTACCAAACCGACGAAGAAACCAGTCTTTTAAATCCCTAATTATTTTACAATCAAATGTTAGACTATTTCACATTATGGCTACGATTGTTTATTTTGTGTTTCGATTTGATTTTCAATGTTACCGAAACTAAATATTTATAACCATGATTGTTAACTAGCGTTTTCACGTTTTGTTTGTGTTTCTAAGTTATAGTGACTAAAATATATAACATAGAAACACATTGGAAGAAGCATTTGAAATTTAGCGACTCGAAATGGTATGAAGCAATCCCTAGCTAACAGAAGTGTGTTTGATGGTCATGTAACAGAAAACATGTAGACACAACAAAACAATCGTAACCTATATCGAATATTCGTCTCACTTAAACTTATTTCAAAATCATCGATTTTTCTCTGTTACGATAGCCTAGGTTTGTATATAATAGTGGTGAAAACTTGAAATGAGTAAACAATAAACTAATCAAATACTCGTCCCACTAAAACTTGATTAACAAGGTACCGTATATCGAATTTTCGTCCCATTAAAACCTGAATTTATAAATTTGAGTCCGAAATGAATCAACATGCAAACAGGGTAATCCAATCCGAAGTGGGTTTACATGCTTAACGTATACCATTTTTCACTTTCTCGTTATTATTGGATCATTAGAGTAATATTTTGCTATTGATCATGATCGAAGAACAAGAGATTGAAAGAATTGGTACGATAAATGAGCCCATTAAGCTTCCGAGGTAGCTAGGCGATCCTCCGAAGGAAATCCCTTAATTACGTATACAAAATAATTCACTTACGTGCATGAACCATTCATCTTTAGACATCTTACATATATTCTGAATTATATTGCCTGATGAATATTTCGAAAACAAAACAAAAATCTTCAATTTCTTGTTTTCATCAATCACTTAACCAAATTCAAAGGAACTTGAAGAGCAAGAGGCACCATCGGTTCATGAACAATCCCAACAGATATCTTGCAGTTTTCAGAGCTCAACATCTTGTCCTGGTCCTCTTCTTCCTCTAATGACATAATCTCGTTGATTATTTCCATTAGTATCCTCTCCATATCTTCTCCATCGGTCCAATCTCTAACGGTAGCCTTAACCAACATGGGATTTTGACTAATCAAATCCCAAACCGGGAAATTCTTCCTTGGCATCATGTAATCTTCAGCTTTGAGTCCAAGACTTGGACAGTAATCACCAGCACCATCTCCAAGATAAATCATCTTGGTCTTCCTCCCTTCTTTGGTCAGAGAAGCTTGAATCCTTTCGATTATCAAACCCTGTGTAAATAGAATTTAATATTAATTTAGCACTGGAAACAACACAAGTAGGTCCATATTGACTCATAATAACAGAATCAAAGATAATACTATATTTTACACCAAAAAGTTTCCCAAAATCCCTGGAAGTAGTTATGACAAATTAAATGGCAAAATCACTTTTTTTTTTTCTTTTTTTCTTTCTATCACAAAGAATCAGAATTAATCATATCTTTTGAACTAATCAATCAATTTGAGATTAGTGTAACTGCAGTACCTTGCACATGTTAGGAGGGCACCGAGAGCAACCATGAGAAGATTTGGTGAAGTCATGGTAAGGAGAGACTATTAATCTTCCTTGTTCATCTACAAGTCCTGGATTTGTGTTAATCTCGGAGAAAAACTCTCTAATCCCGAGATGTTCGATGATCGTTTCGATGAATAACGTGTTTGCGTCGCTCACTATCCTCAGCTCGCACCTAATGACGTATGATTATTCAGTACCGTGTTATCAAATGAAGATTGATGAATTTAATATGGAGTTTTATTTACCCTAAAGCATGAGCAGATTTGATGGCAGGGATGACACGTGGATGAATTGGGATTCTCCTAAGGACTTGTTTGATTTCTTCAATGGTTTTACCCTGATCATGAAGCTCCTTCATCATCCGATTCTGTTTTGTAATAAGGATTTAGGGTTTCGTTTAAATCATGACTGATGAACATAGAAAACAACAAACGATTCGAGAAGCCGAAGGGTTAGAGATGGATGAACAAAACAAACCATGAGAGAGTTCCAAGGCATTGTTGGGAGAAGCTGGTTGAACAATTCAGTGAAACCAAGTTCATCGACAACCCAATTATCACTGTCTACATCGATGATTGTCTTGTCAAAATCAAAGACGATCACGATGTTGTTTCTGTTAGCCATTCTCAGAGAAACTTTTCTATAGGTAATGTTTTTTCGATTTCTGTGTGATTATGTAATATGGAGAAGAAGGATGTGATATATATATATATATACGAGTGAGAGAAGGTGAAGAGGGAGAGAGGCGAATAGGGATTTTCTAGGAAGATGCCATTGGAATATTACTTACCTTCAGACGCAAGGTGAGAGAATCCTAATCTGATATGATTCGTGTTTTTTGAACCGTTAGATCTGATGACGTTTAAGTGCCAAACATTGACTAGGTATGCTGATCCAACGGTGGTGATGACTCTTGGTGTATTATGTGGGTATTATTTAGGTTGGCTTGTTAAATGTTTTTTTTTTTTAGTGGGATTTAGGCAGTTGAGAAGACACGGGAATGGAATGAGATAAAAGAATATTCCACCTATTAATCCGTTTTCCACCAAAAAAGTTAAATTAAATGAATTAGTTTTGTATTTATCAAATTAGAATGAAAATAAATAAATGTGCATGGGATAGTTGCAATATCCATTAAGTCACACACTTGATCGATAAAGTTAAAAGTGAAAACCACAATATTAATACTCTGTTGGATTTAACGTTAACAAAAATATATGGGAGTTGCATCAGAAGGCACTAGCGAGGAATAAGCTACATTGCAACTTGGAAGGAATGTTGAGTGACAAATGTAAGCCGAAAAGAATATTCTAGGGGTTAAGGATCGATCACATCATCTTTTCTTTTGGTGGCCACATCTTTCAATATTCATCTGTATTTGATTTCTTCAATAACAATAAAAAGTAGTATTCTAACCAAACAAGTCTCAGTATGACAACAAAACAAATGTGTGTGTGTGTGTGTCAGTGTGTGTAATCCTCTATCTATAAAATAATAATACATCTCTATCAGATGATCCGCATCAACACAAGCTTCTTTAATTCCTCTTCCTCAATCCTCATGTCTTTTTAAATGACTTATGTAATATATACAAAAGGAATATAGTGTATATTATAATTTCGTTGTAGAAGATCTGTAGCACCACGTACGAAAAACCATAAACAGGGATGACTCATTTCACTCACATCCACTAGTTGATTTGGTTTACATTTCATTTTTCTTAGCAGAAATCAAATTACTTAGGTAATATATTAATGTTGCCCTATACTATATATACACTCTTGTTGAGGTAGGGATTTATATATTCATCACATCCTTTAAAGTATTAGTCAATGATAATTTATTGTTCTTACAATAAGAATCCATGAGGAATTGAGGAGAAAACTACTTTTTATTGTGGGTAAAAGTAAGAAAACACACAAGAGGTGTCTGACAATACAATTGAAAAATAGACAAATAGCAAAAAAAAAGCCACACGTATGTATGTGGTGTTCAAGAAGAAGAAGAAGAAGAAGATATGACAAAAGAATCAATAAACAAATTTTGAAGCACATCCCTCCCAATCGTCTCATACTAAAAAAATCCCACACACCATAATCTGTTTCTTAAGAAAGAAAAGAAAGTAATAGAATCGAAACTAATAAGAAAATAAAATAAAATGTATCCTTGTGCAACCCAAAAAAAGACAACCTAAGTAGGAGGGGTGGTTCGGATATATCAAAAAAAGACAACCCTTCTTCTGGTAAAAAAGGTCTCTTCTTCTTTTCTTTTCCCAACCCAATACTTTTTTACCTTCTAACTCCTGAAAGATTACTGTTGCTTCTTCCGTTGACTCGTCGCGGTATGACTGGTCTGCCTTTGGTCTTGGACACAGCATAACAATGTTACTACTACACCTTTTCTGGTTACATCATGACTTTGGTTGTTAAAAAGAAAGAGAATGAGAGAGAGAGAGAGCCTGGAAAAGTTAAATTGGAGCAAGCTGGTTCCATGTGTTTGTCTTCTCTCTCTCTCTCTCTCCAATTCATGCATAGTACATGTACAAGCTGTTTGCTGCTGCACAAGCAATTGAGTTCTCTGTTGGGTGCCATGCCATATGCAGCAACTTAGTTGTGAAATCATATGCGTTCCCATTTGCCTCTGTTCCGGGACTCTCTGATCCTGCGTCCAAAACACGAGTTTTTACTCCACAAGAAAATATTAAAAGCTCGAGTATATAAGTTTTACAGTCACTACTACCACTAACCTCGTCTAACCACACGTGTCATACTGCCTATAGATCTGGAAGGTCTTGCAGGTGTCTGGATTTGCCTCCTAATATAAACATTGATGCAAAAGTTTGCAATTGATCAACTTCTATGACTTAATGTTAACTATCAATTTTCTCTGTTTTCTGATTTACCTCATCGGGTTTTTGCTAGCTTCCAAAGTTGCAGCTTCGGTACTACCTTGAGACGCTCCAAATACGCGGAATAGATTGCTGGTTCACCCGGGAAATTAAGCATAATAAATTGGTCTTTTGTTCATTTCTTATTCACGACAGAAAAGTACAGTAATGACCAGAAGAAAGCAAGCAAACCTGTAAGAACCTGTTGCTACCCTCAATCCATCGCCACTCAGACAACACTCAAATTTATCAAAGATGGAGTCATTTTCATATAGATCGCATAGCTGCAACCGGGTAAAACATATTGTGGTTAGCTTTGAAGACAGAATCATCAAATAAAAAATGCCACAGAAAGAAGCTCTCACCCTGGGTCTCAGATGTTCATGAACCTGGTAAGATGCAACTGGACCAGAATCCATGTTTATGTCCCACAGCTGAAACGTCAAAAAGGGTAGAAGATATCAGAAAGAACTAAAGAATAGACCTATATTGTCCCACAATCATATAAATATACACAAGGGAACCGAATGATTTCCAACCTTGAGCGTCATGTAATCGCGACTAAGTATGTATCTCCCATCCTTTGAGAATTTAATATCTGAAATTGAGGCAATTATCTCTGTGAAAAATGATCTTGAACCAGGTGCTTCCGGTTCTTCAAATCTGTGATATGAAGCAAAAATGGTCAGTTGTCAGAAACTTATAGCTTATTAATATTCATTTCCAAGTCATTTCCAACAGGAAAAGAAAAAAATGGAAATGAACCCACTATATTCATATCCCCTTCTTATTATTGTACATGAGTTAAGCACATATTGAAACCTTTCCGATAAAGGATGAGGAGGACAGAACTTACAATTTTGTATGAGAATCACACAGAGCTGATTGACGCATATCAATCAAACGAATTGAGCCTTTTGAACTACTATATGCGAGCATATTACAATGGATAGGATGAAACTCAGCTGATGTAATAACCTCTGCAGAGACCATGTAGCATTTAGAAGCATGCTCAACAAGCAGTAAACGTGGAAAGAATAGATAATCAAAGTAAGGAGTTTGTTGATATATGAATCTATGTTAAGACAATACAAAATAACATCTAACGATATAAAGGAAATAGCATACCAGTTAAGTCCTCCATGTTTGTGGGCTTAACATCAACAATATTGAAACTCTGGTTGCTAATTTCCAAATTCCAGAGATTTACTCGCAGATCATCAGCCGAAATAAAGGTTTCTCCATCGCTATAACAATTAGGGGAACGATAAATTATCACAAGGAATAAAACAATGCAATACATATCTATGTACAAGTTGTGAAATTTAGGGTCAACTAGATTTTCGACAAAGAGAACGGTAGCACGACCAGACATGAAAAGACATGTAAAATAAAATTATAATATATATTTTAGATATTAGCATTGTTTTCTGAGATACAAAAATTAAGGAGAAAGAGAGCAAAAACGTGTTGAAGAGCTATCAAGAGTAATACATATAACCTGAGGGAAAACTTAAGAAAATGATTACCTGCTATTTGAGATTGAATTAATATGGTAATCATGAGCATGAGCATATACTCGTCGGCATCTAGCCACAAGGTTGGTCTCCTGGCTTGTAACCTAAATATGCAGAAAGACCCATTATTTCAAGCAGAACACAAACTAACTAATGCATGAGACTAAGTTTGTACTGAGCTTTAGCTACGACAAAAGGAAACAATGCCAATAGTAAATGTCCTACGTTTCACAACTCAAGTAGTAGGATCATCAACATGACGAAAATATCCACAACTTCCAGTAAATATAGTATACAGGCTTAATATCTATATGCATTTGAGTACAACTACCACTGGCAAACGCAGAGATGGAATGCCTCCTGGCGGGAAAGAATATTCATTGCTCAGGTAGCCATGTGCTTTATTGGCAGGTAATCCATTAGTAACTAATTGAGGAGGGATACTTGAACTTCCTTCTCTCGACGGATCAATATTCATTTCACTAATTTTCTTGATCTTCTTCTCTTGTACCTGTTTGATTCCAAATGAGAGGAGTCAAATTATAAGAGTAAACAAACAAACTATTTCTCTTCTTTTTTTTTGCATGGAGTATTGGAAGCATAAAAACCAGGTTCTAGACAAACAATTTTCACATGTGACACCTAATATAATTCTACACTATAAAGCATATGAAACAAGATTATGGAACCGAGTTACACAGAAAGGAATTGCTATAAATGGCCTATTTTTTGCAGTCATGTGATATAAAATTCCATCCAGATGTCACACCTTCCAATATTTGATGGTTTTATCGTTTGTGGAAAGCAGAAACAATGCACCATTTGCTGGCTGACACCATCTGATTTTGTTGATTTTCTCTTCTATCTCCAAACTCTTGAGATAGTCAAACTGAAACAGATTGAAAAGCAAGCTTATTGAGTAGCACAAGAAACACAATTAATCGTAACTGAAATCTGGTGATAAGTTTTAATGTACCTCTGGCTCATGACTCTGAAATTCTGTTTTATATCTAAACTCAGGATGCCTAACTGGGTAATCCGTCTCCTCAAGATCCTTCCTGGACCCTCCATGCTGAAAGTAACATTTCGCAAGACTGCGTTACAGCACAAAATATTTTTTGAAACAAATCTTGCAGAAGAAAAAGGAACTCACATCTTTAGTATCTGTCCTTTCGAAAAGAACTACTCGGCCCCCACGGTCACCAGTTGCAAGATGGTCTCCACTTTTATCAAATTCGATGGCTGAAATGATGTCAACTGCGGAAGAAAATTGTGCAAACAGAATCATTACATCTGAAATCACCACTAAATTGTAGAAGCTAAACACATAATAACCTTGAGATGCTTATTCTCCAAAACATAGAGAATGTACACCGGTAAAGAAGACTACATACAATAACATGAGAGCAGATTAAGTTTATCTCATACGGAAAGTGCCTCTGAAGACAACCTAGTTACATCAATACCCCTGGAAGTCTCATCAGCCAGAAGAGAGCAGCTATAGAACAACTCAATATTACAAATTCAATTCATGAACCCAAAATGCATGACCATTGATAACCCTTGACACTTGTCGCTGGACAATCCAATCCCTCATGGCCTCATATGCCTTTCTTTGCTGTTAAACAGAGTCGAGACACCATTCTACCAGTCGAAAAAGTACCCATGGCTTATGGCATTGAACAGACAAAAGCTTCACGCTAGATTACCCTCTTAGTCTCAACTTAAAACTATCATCAGCGTATCAAATGATTCAAAAATCTACAATACAGAACAGCTGAAAACTTGTACAAAACAGAGAGTTCCAACCTCACAAAAATCAGCTATAGAGAGATGCTCTCATATCACATAATACCCAACAATCCAAACTTGTCATAGAACTCAGAAACTCTACTAACAGTGCAATAAAAGTCACAGAGATTCATCAATGACACACTAAGTAGTAGAGGCATAACTTACAAATCCCTAGCATCCAAATCAGATCCAAACAACAAATCAAACCCTTAGTCCTCAAATACCCTCCGGATCTAAAAGAAAAAGAGAGCCAAACTCATCACCCCCGAATAGGCAATAATTACCTTCCTGAACTTCTTCTCCGGCGGTTCGCTCGCCGAAGACCTGAGAGAATCTCCACTCTAAAGACGGAGGAGGACCACTAGTAGCGGAGGAGGAAGAGGCATCGTCACCACCGTTCATTTTTTTTTTGGTTTTGGGTTAGATAATCCAACAAAAATTAGAAATCCGAGCTTGAAATCTGAGCTTCCAAATCTTTCAATCACCAAATCGAATCGAAGATCGCGGTCATCACCATCACCAAACCCATTGATTCACATTCCATTCCATAGTTTTATTCATGGATTTTTCGCAACTTGATCGATGATTAAATTTCGTTCCTCTCTCTCTCTCTCTGTAGAAAATGGAATTTTGATATATCTCTCTCTCTCTCTCTGTAGAAGAAAATGGAGGAACGAGAGAAGAAAAAAACGCCTTGGCCTTTTTCTCTCTCTAAAAGGACAAAATCGGAATTATACCTTTTTTCCTGCGAGACCAAAACGAAGGAACAAATCGTATAAGTTAATGTCTAATACTAATGTTTTTGTCCTGATTCTAAAGTTTCCTTAGGGTTACAGGCGGTGACATTTTTTATTTGACCATTAAATATCGGTGGACGGTGACATATGTTTTCGCCTATCATTGGTCAGTTGTGGAGGTGCTGCGCTTGCCACTGTTGTATTTGAGGATGGGGGGTGTAAAGATGAGAACTTGTTTACAATCAAATGAAGATCAAAAGTAACTAAGGTTTTGACTCTAGTCAAGTTAAGATTGGGTTAAGTTACTTTTGGGACCACAAAGAGGAGCCTTTGTGTTTTGTCATCTTGTGCACTAGGTTTAAGGATGTCTCCTTGTATTTAAGTAGTTGGGGACGTGAGAGAGATTGTAGCAGCACACAATGTAGAAAGAGGGTGAGAGAGGAACACATAGAAAGCATTAGCTTTGGGGTGGGTTTTCTCATTAGAACAAGGGTGTGATACAGAGTATTAGTGTGTTAGCGAGAAGGTGTTTTCACATTGTAATATCTCTTGTATCTTTGTTCATTTCTAGTGGATTCCGAGACAAGGTCTCGGCGAGATGTAGGTAGTGTCACATTGACACTGCTGAACTCGTTAAACGTGTGTGTGCTCCCTTCTTCTCTATTCTCATCTCTAATATCTCTCTGCTCTGTTTTCTTGCTGCAACAAAAGCCTCTCTGTTTTAACAAATCCGTTTTTGCACCAAACTACTTTAGTCTTGGTTGTATGAGGTTCATGCTCTAGAAAGTTTAAGTCTTTTGAGCTTCTGAATTCTCAACAAGTGGTATCAGAGCTTAGGTTCTGTGTATTGTGGTTCTCCAAGCCATAGAATCATGTTTTGTCAAGAAAAGAAGTGGTAGAGTTTGGTGCTTGTGGAAACTTTGCTATGCGGAAGGAGAAACTCATGGATACCCTGCAGTTTCTAAGCATGAATGAAGCGTTGAAGATGACTGAGATTTCAAGAAGGAAAGTCTCAGATCTAAGAGAAGTAGAAGCAAAAGAGAGAAAGAAGATTCAGATCTAAGAGAGAAAAGATCTAGAGAAAGAAGGAGAGTGAAGAAAGGTGAAAAAAGGTTGGATCTTTGGAAAGCTAGAGCAGCAAGGCTCCTTTGCTTTAAGCATCCATGACCTTTCTGTGGAGAGCTTGTTTGTGCAGAGACAAGAAGCGTCTCAGGTGCAAGAATCAAACAGAAGCTCTTGGTAAATAGTGTAGAAGAGAGAAAGATGTCATAAAACTCTTTCTTGGTGGAGCACTGTTGGGTTTTCTCAGGTGTTGAGAGAGATTGTGGAGAAATGACTGTCTCTGGTTGGAAAAGCAATCTATGTCTCTTGGAAAAGAGCACGAACCAAAGGAGGAGTTGTAAGACTCGGTCTGGTGACAATAAAGCATCTCATTCACATCATCTAAAAGAAGCAAAAGTTGCAGGTTTTCTAGTTGCTATCTTAGAAGCAGTTCCTGTTGAAACAGGAGAAGAAGTAACAGAGGTAACTCCAGAGACTATTTCAGAGCTGTTGCAGAGCCAACGACAGTTACAGAGACAGCTACAGAGACTGTCTCAGAGGTTGCTGCAAAAGCTCAGGTTATGGTTTGTAGTTGAGTGTGAAAGTGAGATGTTAACAAGTTGTACCATAAGGAGAGATTCATATATAGCAGAAGTTTTGAATCAAGTGAGGTGATTTCTAGGTCATGAAATCAGGTTTCCTCTAAGTTCTTAAAGGGTACAAGAAGCTGCAACATAGTGAGAAGGATTTATAATCACTCACAAGTCAACATGTTGCTAGCACAAAGAAAATTCAGAGATGAATGAAAGAAATACGTGATCAAAGATGGTCTTCTTGATCACTGCTGAAGAAACCGATCAGAGTTTATGTAGGAATCAAAACATAAACTTCAAGACTCAAATTATGGGAAATTTCAAGTCTAATTCCGCTGCAGTCACAAGGTGCTTGTGATGCTCTGTATTGAAGTTTCAGATTTGCTCAAGTTCTGCAGGTTTATGGGAGTTGAAAGCTGGTTAACACAAAGGCAGTGTTATGATTTTGCAAGCGATTGGCCAAGATTCAGTGATGGTTTCAGGTCAACATTTGTGTGGTAAAATCAGTTGCAGGTGGTGTTTAAATACTGTTGTAATCGCAGCCTCGGAAACTCATAACATTCATGGGACTAAGGGACGCCTTAGAAGCTTGAATTTTACGTGTATTAGGCTGTGGAGTATCAGTAAGGTTTTCTGGATTCTCTAAAAAGGGTTTTGCAGATCAGAATTGGGTGAATCAGAGAATGAAGTTTGCTAGAACAGGAACAAGTTTATTGGAACAACAAAAGCTGTTATTGTTCTGTATCGAGAAGATGTGCTGGAGCACTGAAAAGTTGTTGGTATGTCAGTGTTATTATCGGTATAAGCTGATAAAAACTGGAAGTCTCGAGGTGTTCACTTCAATGGTTTGGCTGAGTTTTGAAAGGGGTTTCGGTTGTAGGTTTATCTCTGTGTGTAGTTCTCAGTTCTTGTGAATGAAAGAGTCTATAGGTTGTGGATTATCAGAGAACGTGAAGCTACAAGGCTGCTATTTTCAGAGGGAATGCAGCGTCATTTGTAAGTCCATTTGTTTGGTGTAAGCTGGACAGTTTGTGGTTGTAGGTCATGAGAACGAATTCTCTTGACAAGGTAGTGGCAGCATAAAAGATTCATGTTCTACGCAAATTTGTGTTTGGCATAACACATGGTGATTTTGCTTAAGGAACATGGAGTTCTTATCTCGGGTGGAGCAATATTTTCTCAGAGTGTATCTTGTGTTTTGTGTTTTTTGGATCAGATCTTCAAGTGTTAAAAGAAGCATCTGATGGTATGCAATTGGCTGTACTATTTTCTTGTGTCGAAAGTCTTCCTAGCCAAAGGGTGTTAGGCGGCGTGTCCTGTTCGTTTGAACAGCGGTGCAAGACAAGTATATAGTGGAATTGGCTACAGGAAAGTACAAGATTTTATTTATGAGATTGAGGTATGGTTTGATGGTGTATCAGCCTAAGTTGTTTCACAATTAGATCATGAAGAATGTTCCAAGTAAAGAGAGGACAAGGCTGCAGAAATTAAAGACAAGTTCTTAGTGGTTTTCTAGTTGCAAATGGATCATTTGAGGTGGCTGAAGGAAAAAAGAAGATGTGTCTCATGTTTTGACACACTTTCTCAAGCAAGTAATCATGGTGATTCATAAGAACGTGGAAATGAATCCAAGATACAGTGAAAAGTGGCTTTAACTCAGATTGGTGAAGCTCAGCTTATAGAGACAAAGTGCATCCAAGGGTTATAGTTTCAGGTGGAGTATTGTTGCTACAAAAGGAGCAATGCATATCTAAGGATATTTTTTCCTTCATGGTGGAGCTATGTTTGTGGATGGTGTCTCGGAAGGTTAGCTGAAGATAAAAGAGTTAAATGGCTGTGTAACTCACTAGTTTATCAGATTCATGGAAGTTCAGTATGCTAATAAGAAAACAAGTCAAGAACAGTTTATTATCAACGAGTTTTTCAGCTCAAAGAAGGTTATAGTCTGAGGGTACAAGGCTGGTTACAATTTTTGGTTTTGAAGCTGATTGTTGGTGATGATATCCAGAAGCAGAGCTGCAGGTTTCTAGGAAAGAGTTGCAGGTTTCTGAAAGCTTTTTTCAGAAGATCCTAAGATGTAAACAAAGATGAAGACATTGAAGTGGTTAAGTGAGTTCTCTAAAGGAGAAACTGAAAGGAGACAAGCACGAGTGTTGCAGGAGTTGTCTCAAGGCTGTTCACTTCGGGAATGTGAAAGTGTTGTGTATCAAGTTTGATAACAACCCATCTCAAAGCTGGTCTTGGTAATTGAAAAAGGAATCCTAGGAAGGATGTAAATGCAGAGAATGCATTTGGAAGACAACAACTAAGGAGTTTTTTTTTAGTTTTGGTTGTCTGCATCAAAGGGGAGTATATGTAAGTATCCTCTCAGAGAAAGATACTTGCAGGCCATTCAAGTGGAGTATCTTCAAGTATCATATGATGATAAAGAAGAAAAAGACTTTGCTTAAGTCTGAAAATTGGATGGTGCAAGGTTCAAATCATTTGGTGGAGGTCCGCAGGTTTTGCAGGACTGTACTACAGTAGAAAGTGCATCAGAATTCTAGAATGGATGTGAAAGGTGCTGTAAGGATTGTCTCAGGGTTATCACAAGGTCTTGTTGATGTGAGACAGGTTTAAAGATTGCTGGTAGTGGTTAAAATCTGCTGGTAAAGGCTCTGTTTAAACATAACAGTTGAACAAAGGATGTGTTCTGGATTGGTTTTGTTAAACAGGTTTGTAAAAGTAATCTCAGGTTTCAGTGGTTCTTAACGGGCTGATGAGATTGTCTGCAATGGTGAATCAAGAGCTTCAAAGCTGAAGCTAAGATGATTCAGATACTGCATAAGATTCAGAAAAAAGATTTGATTCAAGGCTCAGTGCACATGAGATGAATCAAGTAGTCGACAAAGGAATCAGGTTTGCAGAACGAAAAAAAGGATGATTACAATCACTGATACATGTGTGTGGTCCTAACAGAGGCCATGGTGGAGAATGTGTGATTGCACGTTTCATAGGTGGTGAAGCTTATGGAGTTTTCTGTTGATATTAACAAGTTGGAGGCGTTTCGTAACTTGTTAATGGAGTTTTCTGAGCGGTGATATCAAGTATTCAGGAGTTGAATGCATCATAGAAGGTGATCAGGGAAGAGTTGAGCTTAATGCAAAACTGCATTGAAGCTGGGTTTCACAACTCGTGATCTAAAGATGTGTTGATGGCTCAGGTTCAGCAGTGTGAGCAGTCACAGCTGAAGTGTATTGAATATAAGTTTAATGCAGGAAGGATCAAGAAGGTTTATAGTTTTTTTTAAACTGCTAAGGATCAAAGGCTAAGTAATGATACTCAGAGCCAAGACTGAAATCCAAGGTTCAGGGTTCAAAATCTCTCTCTTCAAGCTAAGTGCAGGCTGGTTTAGGATTGATCAACATGTTCTCAGGTGGAGATTGTAAAGATGAGAACTTGTTTACAATCAAATGAAGATCAAAAGTAACTAAGGTTTTGACTCTAGTCAAGTTAAGATTGGGTTAAGTTACTTTTGGGACCACAAAGAGGAGCCTTTGTGTTTTGTCATCTTGTGCACTAGGTTTAAGGATGTCTCCTTGTATTTAAGTAGTTGGGGACGTGAGAGAGATTGTAGCAGCACACAATGTAGAAAGAGGGTGAGAGAGGAACACATAGAAAGCATTAGCTTTGGGGTGGGTTTTCTCATTAGAACAAGGGTGTGATACAGAGTATTAGTGTGTTAGCGAGAAGGTGTTTTCACATTGTAATATCTCTTGTATCTTTGTTCATTTCTAGTGGATTCCGAGACAAGGTCTCGGCGAGATGTAGGTAGTGTCACATTGACACTGCTGAACTCGTTAAACGTGTGTGTGCTCCCTTCTTCTCTATTCTCATCTCTAATATCTCTCTGCTCTGTTTTCTTGCTGCAACAAAAGCCTCTCTGTTTTAACAAATCCGTTTTTGCACCAAACTACTTTAGTCTTGGTTGTATGAGGTTCATGCTCTAGAAAGTTTAAGTCTTTTGAGCTTCTGAATTCTCAACAGGGGGAAATGTATAATTATCATTACTAGTACTAAGTACTAACTAATTATTTTTGCCAAATTCTCCTAAGTAGAATTCCATTTTTTTTCCTTCTAAAAACTTTATTAGCTTTATAATCGTTATCATTGCTTAAAAGGATGGATACTCAAAAAACTTGGGCATTTTAATATGAACATTGTTCAGAACATTTTACTTAAAGAAGAATCGTTTTCTTGCAAGTTTCTTTTCAGGGGTCAAAATTAACTCATGAGAATACCCAAGCGGTAGAAAAACGGTTGAAACCAGTACAAATCAAATGAATTAAAAAGTATTACTATTGTTTATACCAAATATCTGGAATTTTTGGATGGTGAAGAATCAAAAATTGAAACTACAAAAAAAAGGAGTGTGTAATTTAATACTAACAACTAACCCCTCAGTGACGGATTAACAGATTCACATCTAAACCGGATATAACCGAATAATTTAACCAGTTAGTACAATTCTATTTAGAACAGAACAGCAAAGCTTTCGTCGTTTAAAAGAAGTTAAAACCTTTATTATATCTCTCATCTGCGGAAGAAACACGCTTGAGAGATCTTGTTTCAAATTCGAAGGAACCCTAATTTCCCGATCTGCATATTTTTTCCGGTTGATCAAACAAGAGAGTTCCGATTAGAACTGATCGAGATGGGTAATACAGATAAGCTGATGAACCAAATCTTTGATTTGAAATTCACGTCAAAGTCTCTGCAGAGGCAAGCTAGGAAGTGCGAAAGAGAGGAGAAGTCGGAGAAGCTCAAGGTCAAGAAAGCCATTGAGAAAGGGAACATGGATGGTGCTCGGATCTATGCCGAGAACGCCATTCGCAAACGCAGTGAGCAGATGAACTACCTTCGTCTCTCTTCTCGCCTGGACGCTGTTGTAGCTCGGCTCGATACCCAGGCTAAGATGGCTACCATCACCAAATCGATGACTAACATTGTCAAATCACTCGAATCGACTCTTGCCACTGGTATTTCACATTATTGTTACTTTTCAGCAATCTCTTATCTTTGATCCAATTAACTGACATTTTTCGTTTTCCCATCAATCTGGCTTTGTGGTGCTCATTGCATTATAGTATAGATGGATAAATTCTGCTCCTTGTTGCTGTTTTTGCTGATTGAAGGATATTATGGTTTTGATGAAATATTAGATTAGCTTGAATTGAACTAGTAAACACCATGGTTCAGGGCGTATTTGTACATGTTAAAGTAATCTAGATTTGAATGGTTTTTTGGTTGAGAGGAGAACATTGTTTCATGGAAACACAAATAGCTCACTGTCATGGTTGTTTTGTGATCTGTGATCAATTTCGGTTGCATTGCTCTCCTATTGTTAAGTGTAGTATAGCGGGAGAAGAAGATAGGGGTTAACTACATATAATACTCTTATACATTGTACTGTAGCAACTCAGGTTATCATCTTCTGGTTTGTTCTTTGCAACAGGCAACTTACAGAAGATGTCAGAGACTATGGATTCGTTTGAGAAACAGTTTGTGAACATGGAAGTCCAAGCTGAGTTTATGGAGAATGCAATGGCTGGTTCCTCTTCATTGTCGACTCCAGAAGGAGAAGTCAACAGCTTGATGCAGCAAGTAGCAGATGATTACGGTCTTGAAGTTTCTGTTGGACTGCCTCAGCCTGCTGGTCATGCCATTCCTACCAACACTGAAGAGAAAGTTGAGGAGGACGATTTATCTAGGAGACTTGCCGAGCTTAAAGCCAGAGGATAATTAACTAACCTAACAAAAAAATGTGTTTGGATTCTACTTACTTATAAAGATGTTGATGCTATTAATCCCTGAACGTAATGGGAATGTTTGTGTAAATTAAATTGCTCACCTTGGAATATGCCTTTGTTTATATTTAACCTTGAGTGTGCTTTTAAAATGAGAAATTTCATTAAACTGCTCAATGGTTCAGACTTCGGATTGTGGTACAAATGTTAATTCTCTTGATGATCTCTCTGGTAGTAGTAGTTTCACCAAATTTTCCAGGTCCATAAAGAGTACACTGGACTTAATTTGATTTTGAAAATGAGCACAAAGGTTTTGATTGATCTTGGAATGTTAAACAGACGAAGGACTGAGGGTGTTGGGGATGCAAGAAGATAAGAATGTTTACGGTATTCTGGGTTTGCGTTTGCGTTATGTTGCAGTTGTCAAATTGGTGGGAGGAGGATTTGGTGAAGTCTGCCTCTCTCTCCCATGTCTTGTTCACTGCAAGTGTTTTGTTTTTCCTTTTGACGCCCCAAGGTCTTTCTTCTTGCATGTTTTTTTTTTATATATATACACTTGTAAATGAATAAATTTTAAGTATATTATTAATCATAAGTGAAAAAATGGAAAGGTTAGAATCTATTTTTACTGCAACAAAAAACAAAAGAAACATATAGTTATGGTTTAAACTTTAAAGATGCTTTTGGAAAACTCCATCATTTTAGTGGAGAATCACAGAAAAGATTGGTCGCCAATTATTTTTCTTTTATTAATAAGGATGCACATGATGATGATTATTAACCACAATATACTAATATAGATGACAATGTATTTTAGTGTTAAAATTATATTAACAATTATATAATTGAACGTGTAAATGAATGTTTTATTATATACTATATATGATTTTTTTTTGAGACAATGATGTACCTAGACAAGAACGCCCTACTCGTTTACAAAAAAAAAAAAAAAAAAAAAAAGAAGAAGACAAGAACGCCCTACTCTGAGTGCATGTGCTTCTCATTTTATATACTCTTTTACCAAACAAACTACTATTCAACTTAACGTATCTTACATAATTTTGGTAGACTTATTTTTAATTTTGACCATAATGAGAAAGATTAAATTAAAACTCATCCATTACCTCATGTAAGCTCTATATTAACCACGTTAGTCCTTCTTCACACACTCACAACAACCAATCATAGTTAAAAAAAAAAAAAGCAGTCATGGCATTTTCAACTTCTTGTTCGTCCGTCAAAGCCGTCAACTCACGGTGGACGTCTCCGTCACCGTCACCATCTTCTCGATTCGCCGTCCTCCCTGTTTTCCTCCACCGCCGTTACGCAACAAGCGTCAAACTAACGGCCACAAGCGCCGCCTTAAAAACCGTCGAGCAAACGACGTTAACAGAGGATAACCAATTCTCCACCATCGGATCTGATTCTGATGAATACAACCCAACGCTTCCAAAGCCGAGGATCCTCGTCGCCGAGAAACTCGGAGAAGCCGGCGTGAATCTCCTCAGGGAATTCGGTGACGTTGACTGCTCTTACGATCTTTCACCAGAGGATCTGAAGAAGAAAGTGGCAGAGAGTGACGCTCTGATCGTGAGAAGTGGAACAAAAGTGACGAGGGAAGTGTTTGAGGCGGCGAAGGGGCGGATGAAAGTGGTCGGAAGAGCCGGAGTTGGGATTGACAATGTTGATCTGCAGGCGGCAACGGAGCACGGCTGTTTGGTGGTTAATGCTCCGACGGCTAATACGGTGGCCGCTGCCGAACATGGAATTGCTTTGCTTGCTTGTATGGCACGTAACGTCGCTCAGGCCGACGCTTCTATTAAAGCCGGTATGTTCCCAATTAGCCCTTTTTTAAAAATGATTTTGAGACACTGATGGACGACATTTAATTTACATACCTAGATTAATTTAAAGTTTATATATTTCACCACGAGTTAGATAGAGTACCGGGCATGGTAAAAAAAACTAATCTAATATGTTTTAGTCTAGAAAGATTACGAGATCTGAAGTACAAAATTTCTTGATTACAAAAAAAAAGGAGAAAAATTCATACATCCCTCTTAGATATATTGGTTATACTTGTACGGGTTTCGTTAATCATCATTGATTATTCTGATAGTTAAGTATTATAAATTTCTATTTCGTTTTGGTTATCATATATTATTATATCGAGAAGAGTTAATGGTCCATTTGAATAATTCCAATATAGTGGCGTAGCGTTAGTGCTTCTTCGTAATAATTGCTCAGTGATGTTGGAGTTATGCAATATGTCATAGAAGTGGCAATTTCTCATTGGATGGTAGAAAAGTCATATTAGAAGCAGAGATAAAATTGGTTTACGTAAGTAGAACAAAAGTGGAAATCATGTTTATCCTCTCCCTGTAAGATGGAAAAAACAAACGAACCTGTCAAATGTAAAATATGGGTCCATTTACTGCAGAAAATAAAGCCTGGGCCCTGTGTTTAAAATGTTTGGGGCCACTAGTGACCTCTCTCATCTTCATTTTACTTTCCTCCGAGTCTCTCACCATGACCAACCACAGTACACAAATTAAATTATTGGAGTCTCCTTGTCTTTTATTACAAACTTCTGGTTATGTTTTGTCATCACGAATTAATCCCAAAATTGAAGAAATAATTCAATTACCTGATATACAATCTCTTTCATTTTCACGCGTCACAGCTCATCAGTTCCACCCATTTTGGAAATTTGAACATTATGGCTAAATTATTTTCTCAAGACTTTGTTGTCTTATTTTCTCTTTTCTTAACTTTATATTCGTTATTATTTAATTACAGTTTTTTAATTACCTAAATTATTGATTCGGCGTATAGTAGAATCTTGATTAACATAATAATATGGAGTCTTTTTACAATAATACAAATTTGTAGAATACACAATATACAAGTGGGTCATTAAAAATATTCATTATTGATTAGACTCAATTATTTGATTCTGGTACTGTTAAGGTGGAATTGTCAGTAGAGACAAAAAAAAGGGTGGAATCAATATAAGATAGATTCAGAAACTGACAAAGTAAAGAGACTATTATTTTTTATTTATTTTTTTGGACAAACTATACGATTATTTCGTCTAAGCAGTAATAATTATTTTGACTTAAAATCACTTATTGTAAAAATAGAGGTTATTTCCTTGCGAGTTAGTAATTTTGTTTTTATATAAATAAAAACAATTTGAGTTGAAACTTCGTTAACTCCTCCGTCAAGTAATACCGAGTTGGTTTCTGAAAGTTTTGACATTTGGAGATTTTTACAGGAAAATGGGAGAGGAGCAAGTACGTCGGCGTATCTCTCGTCGGAAAAACCTTAGCCGTGATGGGTTTCGGGAAAGTCGGGACGGAGGTGGCGAGAAGAGCCAAGGGTCTAGGCATGAACGTTATCTCCCACGACCCTTACGCGCCAGCTGACAGAGCCAGAGCTCTCGGCGTCGATCTTGTCTCCTTTGATCAAGCTATCTCCACCGCCGATTTCGTCTCCCTCCACATGCCTTTAACTCCGGCCACCAAAAAGGTCTTCAACGACGAAACCTTCTCGAAGATGAAGAAAGGTGTTCGTCTCATTAATGTCGCTAGAGGTGGTGTCATCGATGAGGATGCGCTCGTCAGAGCTCTTGATGCCGGAATTGTTGCTCAGGCAGCATTAGATGTGTTCTGTGAGGAACCACCATCGAAAGACAGCAAATTGATTCAGCATGAAAATGTTACTGTGACACCTCATCTTGGAGCTAGCACAAAAGAAGCTCAGGTATCACTTTCTTGATCTTCTTGGTGTTACTTATTTCATCTCTCTACACTTCTTTTCGAGTTTATAGATTCCATTATGAGATTTCTTGATCTTTATAGGAAGGTGTAGCCATCGAGATAGCAGAGGCTGTAGCAGGGGCATTAAGAGGCGAGCTATCAGCTACTGCGGTCAATGCTCCAATGGTTGATCCTGAGTTCTATCTGAGTTGACTCCATACATTGTTTTAGCTGAGAAGCTAGGGAGGTTAGCTGTCCAATTAGCATCTGGAGTAAAGGAGTACAGTCCATTAGGGTGGTGTATCGGTCAGCTCGGAACCGAGATGATTTGGATACTAGACTACTTCGTGCAATGATCACAAAGGGAATCATTGAACCGATCTCAGATTCATATGTCAACCTTGTGAATGCGGATTTCATAGCTAAACAAAAGGGTCTTCGTATTAGTGAGGAACGAATGGTGGTTGATTCATCACCGGAGTACCCTGTTGATTCCATCCAAGTTCAGATTTTGAATGTGGAATCGAACTTCGCTGGTGCTGTCTCTGATTCTGGTGATATAAGTATCGAAGGGAAGGTGAAGTACGGAGTTCCGCATTTAACTTGTGTCGGATCATTTGGTGTGGATGTGAGCCTTGAAGGGAATCTGATACTGTGCAGGCAAGTGGATCAACCAGGGATGATTGGACAGGTTGGTCACATACTTGGGGAACAAAACGTGAATGTGAATTTCATGAGTGTTGGAAGAACGGTCTTGAGGAAACAAGCGATAATGGCGATTGGAGTTGATGAAGAACCAGACAACAAAACACTTGAGAGGATTGGGGGCGTCTCTGCGATTGAAGAGTTTGTGTTTCTGAAACTATAAAGTTTGAGATGGAGTTGCATTGTGGTGTAAGAAGAATAAAACTGTGACCCGGATTAAGGTGTTTTATCCTGTGGTTGTTTTTTTTTTTTATCCTGTGGTTGTTAAGCTGTAGAGAATCTGTGGCATTGTGAGTGAGTGTGAGTCTCTTGGTACTATTACAATGTTCTTGTTTTGATTTCTTATGGTATGTAATGCTTTTGGCTAATGTCATGTTTCTCTTGTTTCTTGATGTCCAAGAAATGTGTGTTTAGGGCCTATATTTTACGATGAACCGTTGGACTTTAAAATAAAATTCCCTTTTCACTACTCTATGGATTGTCGCATTTGGGCCTTTGGGGTTTTAGTCTTAGGGTGTAGGTGGCCTTGTGAACTTGAGACAAAATGTGCAATTTCCAAACCTCATTGAAATCTTTTTTTTTTATAATCCAATGTGAAAATCCTTTGAAGTTATTTTCAATTTTCAACATTCTTTGATCTTTGAAGGAAATTCAAACAAAAGAAAACTGATAGAAGACAAGAACAAGGACCACTCTCTAAACCCTTTAGAT